TTATATATGAAACTAATCTTACTTCTAATCCTAAATGTATTTAATTTTAAACCTACATTAGGTGCATATAATTTTAAGTTTACCTTAAAACTTAATTATTTCCTGTTCCTTATATTTAACTAATACCTACATCTATAATAAACATTTATCTTTTAATTATAACTGCTATCTATTTAATTCTAATCCTTACTTTAATTTTAACCTTCTTTCTAATTAAACGATAATATTTCTTAAATCAAAAGGCATGTCTGTGACTTGTTTTTCCCAAAAACACCTGTTTTTGGAGATAGTCTGTCTCAATTTCTCACTTCCTCATCAATCACAACTGTCAATGTTGTTACTTATAAAGGGTGTGAGGAAGTACTTGTTTTTCCTTTTTAGCTAAAGGTTGCAAAATTTGCATTCCCTTGTCCCTTCAGGGGGGATATTTTTTGCTGTTGAGCTCTTTTTACATTTTTATACATAGGTTTACTGCTAATTCCACATCCTTGCACATTCTAAGGGGCACCCTTTTTGCTGCAATCTCACCTCCATTATGCCTATGTATAATTTTTGCTGTCAAATGCCATCATCCATTTGCGCATCTATTATCTCAGTTAAAGAGGGAATATTCTCAAGCCTATGCACGCAATCCTTCAAAGTTAGGGAAGGTCCATCAACAGGATCCATGGGGCTTTGCCTCCGTCATGGCCACATTTTACTGGGGCCTTGCGCCCAGCCGGCATTTTTCCTGTTTTCAGGTCCCTTTTACTTTACTTTTATTAGTGATTACGGCTCCCGGAAACAGCACATTTAAAAATAATTCATTGTGGATTTGTTCAGATTAAGCATGTCTTTTAAAAACCAAACTTCACCTGTACAGTGATCACTTATGTACTCTAAAAAAAAAAAACAAAACCCAAGAAGACCTTCTGTAGCATTAGTTATTTTTTCATTTTGATAGTACTATAAAAAGAGTATTTGGGTGATTGCCTATCTTTGGAGAAAAAAAGAAATCTATTTTCTTTCAGTAAGAAGCACAAACACAAAAGTGACACTTTTTAAAAATTACAGTAATCCCATTCCTGAAGAGTCACTCTATTGAATAGTTTTATACTTTATTAATGCACTCGTTATTATCTTTTTTTTTGAGTTGGAGTCTCACTCTGTCGCCCAGACTGGAGTGCAGTGGCCGCTCCCGGCCACCGCAGCCTCGACCTGCTGGGCTCCGGCGATCCTTCCGCCTCAGCCTTCCAAGACTGAGGACTACAGGCGCGCGCTACCACGCCCAGCTAATTTTTGATTTATTGAAGAGATGAGGTCTAGCCAAGTTGCCCAGGCAGGTCTCGAACCCGCGGGCTCAGGCAATCCACTCACCTCAGCCTCCCAAAGGTGCGGGATTACAGGCTGAGCCACTGAGCCCGGCTTATTTTACTTTTTAAAAAAGCATGTAAGACTATAAGCTTCGTTACAGCTGGGAGTTTTGTTCGTCCTGTTTGCTACTTTTCTCCTCATCCTAAGACTACTGCAGAGACCTAAATACCTATTGACTGAACAGAAGCAAAGGTGAGTGAGACAGCCCCTGTTTCCAGTCTAATCACCACCTCCCCTTTCTGGACTTCTTTTCCTTTCTTTGTGAACAGAAGAGGTTGGTCTAGAGTCTGGTAACTGCCATGGTTCTATGAAGTTGTGAAGCTGGGATGACACACTTTGTGTTATATATCACTCTACAGTTTATATCCAATCTTTTATTTGATCTTCACAAGAACCTGGGGGCAGGAGGGATTGCTGCTTTTCTCCTTAGAGATGAGGTAAGGAAGCTCAGAAAGGTCAAGTGACTTACCCAAGGTTCCACAACTTTTAAGCGGATGGCTGAGACCAGAACCCAAGTCAGACCTCAGGCCCAGGGTTCCTTCCTCACCACCACTTGATGCATGGGGTCCTGCCTATTACAATGCTGCTGCAATCTTCTGGAGATCCTGTCTCTCTGCCCCTCCAACCATCCAGGATGGATTCCCCTGGGGGACAGGGTAAGTCTGGTTCCCCTCTCCATACCATGCAGTCCATGAGGATGAATTTGAGATTGTCTTCATTAAACGCTTGGTTCCCGTTCCGGTCGTAGGCGGCCCAGATGTTACTGGCGATGGCCGCCGTGACCCGGGCGTCCGTGTCCCCGTAACCCGAGTAGGCCAGCAGCGATCCCTCGTTATTCAGCAGCCTGGCGAGTTACAGAGAAGGATATGGACATGCTTATGCAGGGAATAAAATACCTGGGCTCCCATCCCAAGTCCCAGCACCGCACTTCCAGGAAGCAAAGGGTCTGGGCTGAATGTGTCCTGGAACGTACCCTGAGCACCCAGCACGCCGGCTTCCCTTTTCGAGAAGGACCCTCCGGCTGGTTCCCCCAGTTGCTGCCCCTCTGCCGCCTCCTGCCTTCCTGGCGACCCCTCCCACCCCTCCCTCAGAGCGCCGCGCCCGGCCTCACTACAGCGCCCGCTGCAAGGGTCCTTGGTCCGCACTCACAGGGTGCTCTGGACGCCTCCAGTGTTGGCCTGGCTTAGCACTTGAGTCAAAGCCTTGGGACGCAGCATGCCTGCGGCTCTTAACCCCGACTTTTGCACCCAGAGCCTACGAGTTGCCTCCTGCCGGCTGCCGCTTCCCGTAATCCCGCGGCCCCGCTCCGGGGCGTCCTGGGAACTGTAGTTTTCTGGTCCTGCGATTGTGGTCCGGACTCAACCCGGCCCACCGCGGAGAACACTGGGAATTGTAGTTCCCTGTGGCCTCGCGAGGCACCCTGGGAACTGTAGTTCCCCTTCCCGGTGAGACCACGCGGCTATGGGGGGAAAAGAGCGGGAGTGAAAGGACAGTGGCGGTGTTGGAAGGACATTTAACCCCGTCGGGGAGGGAGAAGTCAACATGTCCGTTTGGCAGTCCACGAGCCAGTGAGAATAACATATCCTTGCATTTGTTAGGCACACCGTTGGTTACTTTTCAAAACAATTTCCTGCGTTATGCACGATTGTGAAATGAGCTGAGGAGTACCACCATCTGGAGGAAGCCGAAGCTCCGAGAGGCCACGGGGCAGAACCAGGTGTCTGGAGCCATCCTTAGGAGATCATTCAGGCCACAGCCCTCAGAGGACTAGGGTCAATCCTGGACCTGCGGTGGGAAAATCCAGCCTCCCTGTAGGAGGCCCGGGCCTGGAGGGACTTGGGCCTCCCAAGAAAGACCAAGTTATCACAGGGAACGGAGATAAAGCGGCGACACAGAAAGTCCTTTGTCCCGGTTCAGGAGCTGCCCGCGGAGG